TTGCGAGGTATGGATACCCAGGGTAGCTACAATTCAGTTGCCAGGTAAAGTACTTCCAGTTCCCTTTCCGTCAACCGCTCGATAACCTTTACACATGCACAGCAAACCACAGCTTTGAAGTCTCATTCGTGCTTTGAACTTATATAGGTGTGTAAGAGGTATAGCAACATAGCATTTATACGGACCCAGGCTAGCTACAATTCTGTTCCCAGGTATCGCGCGCATGAGACTTCAAAGCTGTGGATTGCTGTGCGTGTGTAAAGGTTATCGAGCGGCTGACGGAAAGGGAACTTGAAGTGCTATACCTGGTAACTGCACTATAGCTACCCTGGGTATCTATACCTGGCAAGGTGCCAACTACACCTTACCATTCAGATGATGCAAATTGCATTTCTTGCATCACCACCCCTCAAAAATCACCTCCAACACAACCTCAAAAAACTTTCCATCCGTCCACCTCCTCCCCCAGCATGTGCCGAGTTTACGTGTACCTTTTGTGGGCCACCCCCTCCAGACCCCCTAACTACTCACTTCGTTCGCCAAGCACAACTCAGCTGGCGCCTTCTACGAAGGCTGGCTTTCGTAATTTCATTGTTACACAAATGGTCAATCCGTTTTCGATGCGATCCAGTTCATATCCCTGGGCATCCTAACATACGCAGTAACTAGAGCACATTGCGGATGTGTCAAACGAAATAGTCCAGTCCTGGCGTCTCAATTGCTTTTTACTTCAGAATCAAAACATGACATAGTTCGATTGAAGATGCAAGGTCAATCTATTGATTTGCTTAGTATCGACTGTCATGCTCTTGCTGATCAAGCAGCCGTTTCATGCAGAAACCAGGACCGGGGTTCGTTTGTCCTATTCAAGATGCTGAGAAAACACTGCAGAACAGAACAAACAATTTTACGAAAGATTTGGTGATACATTATCGCACTGAACAAAGCAATTTTTGCTCAGCGTGCAGCATTACAACCGAGAAAAGCACGCGGCCGAGCACTTGGATAGTCCAGGGAGATATTGACGACATGTTTTTTAAGTCCTGTGTGTGGGGCCGCCGCTTGGGGTCTTCAGATAAAGATGACTGACGCAAAGAAACACAAGCCCACAAGTACCTGATCCGTTTTTGAATTCGATTGGCAAACAACTTGTTAAACATCGAACCAGATTCATCTTGTCAAGTCTCGTGTCTTAGAAATTAAATGCTTCGAGTTCCCGTTGTTTCAGTTTTAATAGCGCGAAATCGAAACTTCTAAATTGGCTCGTTCCGCTACGTTCCCTTCTAGTTAGGATCGTCCGTTTTGGATTCACCCACCTTCATACCCGCTACCATTGTTGTATCAAGGGGTCCACGGGGAGCGCTCTGAGTCAGGTGAGCCAATTGAATAGTGCGAGTGCTTCCTCAAGGAAGCTGCCCCCGCCCTCAGGCAGGCTCAGGCAGGGGAGCTTCCTTGAAGAAGCGTGAGCTATCCTGAGTCCTAGCTAGTAGCAAGTTACCTAGTAGCAAGCAGCACTTACTTGATCAAGTAGGCGGCTACTGAATTTAAGTAGGGGTGGGCTAACAAAAAAGGAGGTGCCCGTTGACCGGGAGACCGTGAGCACTTGCCAAAAAATCCAAGAACGTGTGCGAACGAGTTCTTGCAAAGCCACGGTGAAAATTACTTAACTTTGAGTGATCCCCACCATGCCATTCTACTCTGCTGATACCCGATGGCTATATTTCCTCAACATCACCCAGAAAGTGTGGATCTTGCATCCTGCATATGTACTGGTATCTATTATGGCACTCTAACTGGCATACTTTCCGTCATTCTTTCTACGTGGTTTAGGTCCGGTGGTGTCCACTGCCTTCCCTTGCGCTCGCGGCTGAATGGCGCAGTGTGCCCACTGCGATCTGGTACTTGTGGAGGAGGCGAGGAGAGGACAGTTCGGATTTTTATCTAAGAAGCCTCACCTGGCAGGTGGCGGAAGACCACCCATTTTCGATGCACATCTTCTTTGTGTGAAAAAACTCCCAGCCTCCCGGCTCCCCTTTTCCGACCAACCCAACCGTCGGATCGGATGCGCCTCGGGCTGCGAGACTGCGACTGGGCCTCGAAGGAGAGCTCCGAGGGTTGAAAATGAGATGAGAGCTCCAAGCAATCAGTTTCTTCCTTTTTCTTTCCTAGGTTTCTAATAGCGATGGCCTCCAACCTACTAGCGTTATGCCTGCAACGGCCTCCAAGCCATCGGTGGTTGCCGCCGATGCTTGAGACGTAACTCTGGAGCGAAGACCAAGGATTGCACATTTATCGATCTCGATCCTGCAGAAATAGCTTCTTGTTACTACTAGTAAGGCACTTGTTACTAGTAGCGATGCACTTGTTCCTAGTAGCTTATTGTTTTCTAAGGGATACCGATGTCTATTGGCCTATTCTTTCTATTGGCCTTTGTGGAGATTGAGATCGGCCCTAATGAGATCGCACCAAATTGAGCAGTGGTTTTCGACCGTGATTCTCACAGGATTCTCACAGGCAAAGCCGAAGATTCTGCAAGGTTGTGGTTGGTACCCCTTTGGTGCTTGGCTTCATGAACAGCATCTCAAGGATTGTTTTCTACAACTCGAGGTCTCCAGGTCGAGGTCCTGTCCGCTTTTGAATCTGAAGTGCTTTTCGTTCCTGTCGGCTGGTTGGTGTGGGTGACAAACCTGATTCCAGGGAGTTGATCTCATGATGTCTCAAATCCGGGGAGTTGCACCGAAACCAAGAGCCTGCCCACCGAAACCGGTCCTTGGCCTGGCTCCGTGTTCGCGAACTCCGGTTTCGGCCCCGGTTCCTCCGCCTGTGTGGGAGCATTAAACGACTCACAACTCAGACATCCTCAAGTGGGACAGTCCGAAAACCATCCAAATGCTTTATGTGGACATATCTGGATCTGCCTATGCAGAATCGCCTTTTTGTCAATAAAACAAGCCAGAAGGCCAACCTTTGTTGAAATAAACTCCCCACACCTGTATCTTCCTTGGTATGTTTCGAGGAAAACATAGTTC